CGCATTTTGGCATAAAAATTTTTAAAACATTACTCCGGCTGATGTTTCTATCTCTAGACCCATGAAGTGATGTGATAGTCGCCTTATGATCATGACTACAGTGGGGCAAAAAAAATTTTGGTAAGCCACTGATTGTGTAGGTTATCCTGCTTAAGGAGGATGAGTGTTTTGTAATTTTTATATAGGTACACTTCAACTATAAGATACAAAATGAAGAAAAAATCCGGGAAATCACATTTCTTAATGATAGTGGAAAATGGGCACTTGTTTCAACTTGTTATATGTTTAAAACGTATCTGTGTACAGCCTCATGAAACTCATCTATGGCCAAGATCAAAGAGCTATCAAATGACACCAGAAATTAAATTCTAGAACTGCACCTGGCTGGGAAGGGTGAATCTACACTAGGGAAACAGGTTGATGTGAATATATCAACTATGGGAGGAATCAGAAGAAAATGGAAGACTTAAAAGACCCCTTTATCTCCCTTTATCTGTGTCATGATTTATTTAAGGATCTGACCCAAAATAGAGTAAACCACTCAGAGAGCAAGGCAAAAGGTTAAACAGGTTTATTGAGGTAAGGGTAGAGGGGGTTGGATTTGGAACTCAGTGTACTCAGAGAGCTGGTGAACCTGAACTGGAAGGGAGGAGGGAAGTTCACAGTGGTTAGTTCAGGAACCTATGGAATCTTGAATGCAGTAGGGAAAATGCTAGTGAGGGACTCACGTTAGGGGGGGTTCTCTCACTAGCATCCAGTCTGTGTGGGTTGATCAGAGAAGAGGGAACATATTGAAGAGTGGACAGGTAGACATACTTTGGACCCGGAGGAGCATTGGAGCGGACTCGCTTGGATTTCCATGAGGGACTTGAACGGCACATGTGGATGTTTCTCCCCTGCTCAGTGTGAACTCGGTAAACAATCCTTCCATGGGAAGAAGGCCAAACATCCAGTATGCAGGAGGACTTCCCAAAACTGGCAAGCACTCTGGCATCGAGGTAGTGACAGTCCACTGCTTAAGTACTCCTCCAGATAATGATCCAAAGAGCCGCAGGTGTGCAGGGAGGACCAACAAGGACAGGGCACCACCTGGTGGTGGAGGGAGAGACAAACACAAAACAGACCAAACAAACTAGATTCCTGACAATCTGGGAATCTATGCAAGATATCGTCCCATGAGTTCACAAGATAGGTGAGCAATATTGCTAGAACTTCATGGAGAAACCTGATGAATGACCTGCAGATTGGAAGAATATTATTAGGTCAAATTGTTTGTCATAAACTCAACTTGTCATGTTTGGAGGAAGAATGCTGAGTGACTGGGCACTCCTTTGACGATAAGGTGAGGAGTTCATCATCAGGAAAAGCCTTGGACTAGAGCCGCTTCTCCTCCATATTGAGAGGAGTCAGCTGAGGTGGATGGGCCATCTTTTTCCGCTGTGCCATGGACACCTTCCTCAGAACTGGGAGGGTCAGTGTCTCATGTCCGGGTTGTAGTTGCCTCAGGAGTTCCCCAGCAGAGTTGGAGGAGGTGTCTTTGGGGAGGGAGGTCTTGGAGTCTCTGCAGAAAATGCTGCACTTGCGACTCAGTCCTGGATAAGAGGGAGACGACAAGTATGAGCACAAGAACGCTGAGTTGCATCTCAAGAACACCATGTCTACTATGAGGTATGGGGATGGAAATAGCTTGCTTTACGGCTGATCCGTGTTAATGGAAAATTGAGGTGGTAATGTATCATGAGATTTTAAGTAGGGCTGAACAATTTTGGCAATAATCTAGATTTTGATTATTTTCAACCAAAATTGCGATCGCAATTTTAGTTCGATTTTCTTTTGCACCTACCACAAGACGCTCCGGTTTTTTTAAAGCTTGCTTGGCTAGTGTCCATTGTTACAGGACTTCATGGTAACCATTGTGTGAAAAAGTGTTTACTTCTACTTGCATGCATGGATCTATGTGTTAGCTGCAAATCTCTCTACCTTTGATGGCAAACCCACTTCAAGCATTTATTCACCACCTAAAGTCCTGGAGGGAGAAATTTAGTGTCATACTCTTGTTTAATATAGTATCATTAATAATCAGTGCCTTTGCAATTTGAGAACAGATTTGTTTTTAATTGCGATTATACTGCAAATGCAATTAATTGCCCAGCCCTAATTTTAAGCCAATCAGTGATAACATTGAAAATAGTATGTGGCTGGCTCTTGCAGCATTGGAGTGATCTCAAACACACTGCTTTGGTTACGATGGAGTGGCTTTATAATAAGCATTTCCAGGTCTTAAAGTGGCCTAGCCAGTCTCCAGACCCCAGACGAAATATGTTGAGGGAGTTGAAAGTCTGTGTTGCAAAGTACATGGACTGAAATACCAGCTACAGTGAAGGCAAACCTGGTGATGTTTCATCTTTAACATTCCGAACAATTGCAGTACTACAAAGCTGAGCTTTTGTCATTGACTTCACAAATCATTTTATTGTAAATCGTACAATGTGATTCCCTGATTATTTTTTAATCATTTTGTCTCTATTGGTTAGAGATGGTCTATAATAAAAAATTACAGACCTCTCTTATCTTTTTAAGTAGGAGGATTTGCAGAGTCATTGGCTGACTCAATATGTTTCTGCTGTGGTTCAAAACCAATGAATCACATTGCAATAGCATTACAAAAGGATCAGCAAACAAAGTAGTAGTTTTCCTCCGTTTTTAGCAAACACTTTTAAGCAAATTAATCATGCATTGCTCCGTGCAATGTTGCCCTACCTCCTATTCACATCACATCATCAAGCATGGCTGTAATAAACAGGAAGTAGAGGCTGCAATCCTGAAATAACCGGTAATGGAAAAAACTTTTAATCAATGTATTGCTATCAGGGAAGATGTCCTTGTGTTATCATGTCAGCGAGTAATGGCCATGTTTATGTGCATAATAGAAACATCTGTAAATTTGAGGAGTTATTTTTATCTTGCCATTTCCATCAAGCTTTTCTGATGCAATATTTCAAAATGTGCAGAAAAAGCTGATGGTAATCCACTTAATGATTGAAATAACTTGTTTTGTTTTAAAATGTGCTCTTATTTTAATATTTTTCTTCAAGGGGTAGGCCTGCAATTTAAGCGCATTGAGCTACAACCTCTGAAAATATGCCTCTCAAACAAGTTAGCAGGCCCTGCCATTGTAAACAATGACAATATCACACACACACAATGAGCTAGTATATCACTTTAAGACTGTATCTAAAAAAATTAACTGATATCAATCTGAACTATGGGAGGAGTGGGAAAATAATCCAGATGTTTCAAAAAAAAATGTAATCTTTAAAAAAGGATGAAATCAATTAGTCACAAAGCCCTACATCAAAGACTACATTTTACACCAAGAAATGCAATTTCTAATTGCAGAGCATTGGACTGCGGCCTCCTCTTGTTCTTCTTCTTGCCGTTATGTGATCGCACAGCAGAACACAGCCGACCTGTCTGCCTTCATAGAGAAATTAATCATGTCATGATTTTACTAAAGTTCAGACCCAAATGCAGAAGACCAAACAGGGAGACCAGGGGAAAATGTTTAACAGGTTTTATTGAAGAGATAATGCAGAGGGAAGTGTTTCTCTGAACACTGCTCAACCGGAACTGAAAAGTGAGCGGAAGGCCCAGTGGGAAAATAGATTTGTGAACTTGGAGAAGAGGATTTGGTTGCTGACTCACATTTCCTGAGAAGTTTTTGAATCTTTGACTCCAGTCTATATGCTGTAGTTCCATTGTTTGTCTGATTCGGTGGAGGCGATTTCAGCCTCTTCAGACGGGAAAAGGGGTGGCTGCTAGACTAGACACTGGAATTATGTGCATACTCGACCCATGGAAGTAGTGACTCCAGTTAGTGGGATCTGATTCTGTGAGGCATCTGAGGCTGGCTTCCAACTCTTGATTCATTCGCTCTACTTGTCCATTGGATTGGAGGTGGTAACCGGAAGTGAGAGAGACCCCAAGAGCCGAGCAAAAACTTCTCCACACCTGGGAGATGAACTGCAGGCAGAATGTCCTGAATATATTAAGAAAAATAACAAATGTGCTTCTATAAGAAATTCATGAAAAACAGAGAAACAATTTTTTTTGGTACAACATAACCTTAGAGGCATTAATGCTGATACCGGCACTTACATTTTTTAGTTTATAAACCTAAATTTAATTGTAAACTAAAATTATAAACTTTTTTACTTTACCGTTTAACTTTTAGCTTTTTACCTTTTTTTCTTAACTTGTTAACTTTTATTTTTTCAACTTAATTTACAGTAGGTAATTTATCATTCAAGCGCTCATCCAAACAGTCAGATTCCAAAATAAGATGTACAGCCATGTAGCAGGATCTTTGCTGAATGGCTGGATATAGATCTTGTACTTCTAGATCTCACTGAGGCAGAGGGAGGGAAGGGGGGGACTCTATTTGTAAGGGGTATGCTAAACTGGTAACTTGCCCTATAAAATGTAACAGGCAGCTGATATAATAATTGAAGCCGGCAGGGACGGTGTTTGTCCTCGTCTGTTAGATCTAAGTGGTGTGATTATGTGAACAAACCCCCCCCCCCCCTTTCCTGTCCTAACTCTGTAAATTCGCCATATGTTTCCTGTTTAACACAACTAGATCTAAAATGAGAACTTCCCATTCTGACAGTGATATAATAGCACAGCATGATGTTACAAAAACTCACATTACAATCAGCTCGTTAGTTACGGTGTCAGTGATAATCACCCGACTTTCAAAAAAGATCAAACACAGAGTTTCACACTTTAGCTTCATCTAAACATGGCGGTATCGTCCACAGCTTTTTGGAGTCACTTTCAGTTCTGTGAAAGGAGATGCTTGTTGATAGATGTTTCTCTGATGTGTATGTTGTTGGTTAATTATCACATGTCACATTGCAGATGCTATGTTTTTGGAAGAACTGGTTTACCAGGCTTTATAACCTCCATTATTGAACACATTTTTCCCTTTACCCCGTCAGGAAGAAGGTCACTGACAGCAATGAAGTTGTTAAGTCCAACCCTTCGAAGCGCCACCGGGATCGGCTGAACGGGGAGCTGGACAGGCTGATGGAGCTGCTGCCCTTCCCTGATGAGATTCGCTCCCGTCTGGACAAACTGTCAGTCCTGCGCCTCAGTGTGGGATACCTGAGGGTCAAGAGCTACTTTAAAGGTGAGCAGGGTTTCTGACCAGCTACATGAGACCAAGATCATCCCCAACTTTGGGTCCAGACTAACAGGGTCAGGATCCATGTTGCTATTAGGAGGATTAGATGTTCAATCTGTTTGAAACATTTTTTAAGATTTATGACTGAAACAGTAACTGAAGCAATTAAAGGTTAAAAAAAGACCTTCCATAAAATAGTTAGCGTCTTTTTTATTTTATTTTATATGACCTTACGTTTACCGTATTTTCACGACTATAAGGCGCACTTAAACGTCTTTTTTTTCCCTCAAAATGTGCGGTGCGCCCTTTGGTGCGGTGCGCCTTATGTGTGTTGTAACTGCGACTTTTGAGACCACCTCATTGCGGAGATGATGAAAGAGTGGCTGAATGTAAGGAGACCAGGTGTTTTTTTTCCACTCATCACCATCGCTGTTAATATGTGACTCCATGCGTGCCCATCTCACAGCTGATGTGAAAAACATGGGGTAACAAATTAACGCTGTGCTCGCTGTTCAACCGCTCGACATCGGTGTGAACGGGACGCAGCAGGTGCAGCAGAAGCAGCGAGTTTACATGCAAAGTCAATGGTTGACGCGCGTATAGGTGCAGCAAAAGGTCCCGCAGCGCGTTTTGACGCCTCGGGGGCGTTTAAGTATCTGACGCACCGCCAACGCGCTGCTGCTCGAGATGGAAAAATTGAAGTTTTGCTGCTGGACGCGCCGCATCAACCAATCAGAGAAGCTGATCTGGGAGCTGACAGCGAGACAGACACAGCGCTCTGATGACATTAACGCAAATGAAAAAGGCTGGATGGATGAGGAGATGATGAAAGGCAGGTGTATGTGAGGAGACCAGGTGCTTTTTTCCACGCATCACCATCGCTGCGTGCCCATTTCACAGCCGATGTGAAAAAAAAAGGTGAATCAAATGAACGCTGTGCTCGCCGTTATCCCGGGGGTCTGACAAAGGAACTTCAACCGCTCGACATCAGTGTGAAGCGGCCGTTCAAAGTAAGGCTGCGAGCGGCGTGGGAGCGATGGATGACAGACGGAGACCACAGTTTCAGGATAAGTGGAAGGCAGCGCCGGGCGAGTTACGCCACCGTTTGCGGAGGGATTGTAGATGCTTGGACTAACATGTCTGCTGGCTCTGTTGTTCAAGCTTTCGCAAAAGCAGGCATTATTTCTGAGGAGCCGCGCTGCACGGAAAGTGACTCTGACAGCGAAGAAGGGGAAATTGGCATGTCTGATTTAGCGCAGCTGTTTAATTCAGAAACAGAGGATGATGACTTTGATGGGTTTGATTAATACTTTGTAATAAATACATGAATAAAGCACAAACATACTCAGTTTTGCTCCCGCTCTATATTTCTACCCGAAAGCTTAATTCAACAGCAGCCTCTGGGCGGGTCTCCTCCTCTTCACCGCGGTGGCTGGCAGGTGTTTTTTCATCTAAATAATCTAAATCTTGCAGCTATATTTGCTGTGATCAGTGGGAATAAAGTAGTTTTAATATGTTTTTAAGTGAGAAAGGCCACCTGAAAACTTAATTGCAGTCAGTTCATCCAGATTATCTATTTCTGTCGGAGGCGCTCAGACCCCCACATACCAGCGGTGCGCCGACAGTAGGAATCCCTTCAACAGCAGCCTCACCGCGGCGGCTGGCAGGTGTTTTTCTAAATAATTTAAACTGCATGCACCAGGATATCGGCAATAAAAGCGAACATATTCCGTCGGCAGGTTTCAGGATTTTAAGTTAATTTAGGAGTAATCACAGCGCTGTGTCATCTGCGATGTGTCTGTCTCACGGCCTGCTCCCAGGTTTGATTAATACTTTGTAATAAATACATAAATAAAGCACAGTCATACTCAGTTTTGGGCCCGCTGTATTTTTAAATACGCAGTAGAGCTATTTAAAGGTAGTAGAGGACATGTACCTGTATATAAAAAACGCGCCCTATAGTCCGGTGCACCTTATGTGTGTGTTAAATACAGAAATGGCACACATAACTGAGACTGCGCCTTTTAGTACGGTGCGCCTTATGGTCGTGAAAATACGGTAAATAAGATACAGGAACCAAAAAAACAAGTAATTTTCTTAGATATTCTAATAATTCAGTCTGGAAATAGACCTAAGAAAAAACACTTTGAAAACAATCTGTTTGCTGAAAACAGATTATCTAAATGATATCATAACTTTGAAAAAACACAGATTATTGCAGTGTTTTTAACACCCACTTTAATTTTCATATTTTCAGTTTCAGTATTTTTTAATTTTTTATGCTGAGTCTGTCAACCGGCAATAAAAGCTGTCTAACATCAGCAAAGAACAATCCGGAGCAGTGTGTGTGCAGTTTGGAAAAGCGTGACTCAATATTCCTTAAAGAAATGACCAGTTGGCTACCTGCGATAATGGCGATGGGATTATATTATGCAAAGGACAACGCATTAAACACCGCCAAACTCTAGAAGAAAGCCTCGTCTTAAACCTGCTGCTGTAATGCAGGTTCCCAGAGGGAATTTGTTCCTGCTCTTCAACCATGTGTGAAGACTGTTTTTACTTTTTTCCTCTTATTTTAAATCTCTACAGATTCCTCGCTTTAATCTCAAGCGCAGTGACTAAATGCAGGGTTTAGTCGTACAGTGTGAGCTCACAGCTCACGATTATGTTCGGCCCGACGCTCTGATGCGATCTATCTACTGACACTGCACGACTAAAAACCCTGTCTACCCAGCTGCGCAGTGAGATGGAGCTGCTCTGTAGCCCTCTATCCTGAAGCCAAACAAATAGAAGGCAATTTGTGCAATTTTGTGCTGAAAACCCTGAAGAAGAAAAGGCGACAACATATCTGGAAAAAAGAAATGGCTAGGCAAACGTGGCTAGAACGGTCTGTCAACTTTACAGACAGAGCTGCATTTATCTCAATTCATCCCTGCCACGCCGCTGTGTTTAAATCTGAGAGGAGGAATAAAAAGAAGAATCCTTCTTTGCGCTCTGAGCGATTTGCCCACGACGGTCGGGAGAAAATCAAACATGTTTGATATTCTCCCGCCCTCACGATTCCTGATAGGGAGGTGGACGTGAGAGGTTGATTGCCCCTCATAACCCCCTGTACACTACACGGCGCACAATCAGGCTGAAAGTCAGGCCGATCGAACAATACTCGCACTGGAAAATCCCCCCAAAAAATCACACAATGTACGCTGGGCTTAAGGCTTTATATGTGTTTAAGAGTCTTGCAGCTCTATGAAGGATTTGAGTTGGTTTGATTTTAAATTAATGATTGAATTGATTTCAATTTACATATATTTTTTGTCTAAGCTTTTAGTGCTTTAAGATGACATAAACCTCCTCTGATCAGCTGCTGGGAGAGATGCTATGTCGTAAATGTCTCACACACTTCTTTTGCTGTCTCTTCATATCTCTTTATTTTATTCCCTGTAACTTCAGCAGAACAAACGAGTATGTGTCCCTGCCCGTCCCTCTGTCCTGTCATTCAGCGTGTTGTTCACTATGTTTATGGAACGCCAATTAGCAACAGACTCTCATTGTTTCCCGGACAGGTTCTGAGCTTGGAGTGCGGTAACATGGGGAAGCTATTTGCTTTAAAACTGTGGCATTGTGCATGCAGAGACAGATTGGACAGGAGCTAATGCATGACTTGTTGGGTCAGCTGCCACCATGGAAACATTGATTTGTTGGGTGTAGAACTCAGAAAAAGTCTAGGTGGCTAAATATCAGTCTGAACCAATGGCAGCGGTAAAACCCTAATCCTTCATGGAAATCATCCATGTTTTCTGAGACTAATGACTGAGGACATTGCTGCAGACATAGGAGAACCGTTTCTGCTGTTAAATGAATACTAACGCAGAAAGTGCCTCAGGCCTGCTTAGATGCCTCTATTAGCTGCCTCTCTTTTAGTGCTGATTATCCTGGAAGGACCTTTCTGTGGGATAAGTTTGGAAGTCTCAGCTGCTTTGAAAGGCAGTGGGAATAGAAACACTCAAACGGCAAGGAGAAGTGCGGTGAAATGTGCTTTCAGATGAAGGGATTTCTGGGGTTGGGTCATCGTGTTCTGCCACCCTCTCTGAGACATTCCAACCCCCCCTGAGAAACTGAGCCAGAATTGAAAGTGATTTGAGAATGACACATGAAACTGTTTTGGCAGGTTATCTGACAGCTGAGGAAGGAATGAAAAGCATGAAGGAATGTGGTTTTTAGGAAGCAACACATCCTCTGTGTTTGAAACTTCTCTCCACCCTCTGCATGAACCACACCCACTGCAGCCTCCCATAGTCACCAAACACCTTTTAAGTTAACTGAGAGGCTTGGAAGGCGTGAAGTTTTCTGTAAAGTAGAACGGATCTTTGATGGTTTATAGCACTGGGATTCTCCAACCTCTGATTTATCAAGATTATGCATCTTAAATTTTATGTAATGTTAATGCAGTTTACTTATCAGACTGCACTGAGAGTAAAAACAGACATGTTACATGCAGTCAGACGTGATGTGAAATTCCAGTTTTGCTTCCTCTCTCACCCTCTCACCTAGATTTCCTGCTGCGCTAAGAGTCAGCAGGACAGAGGTGTTGCTCGCTGTCAATCTAAGCTGAACTAACTCAAGAGAAGAATCTACGACTGACACTCACCTATTCAATCGGTTACCATTACCCTGACATGAACTGTGCTCTTGGCAGCAAAGAGGGAAAACAGTGCCCTGCAAAAAAAATAAAATCTAAATAAGTCATTTTTTCTTAAAATAATTGCATTTTTTCTTGAATTAAGGATTGAAGTGAGACACTTTGCCAATGGAACAAGACAATTTACACTTTAAACAAGAAAAAAACTATTGCATTGTCTTATTTCAAGTGCATAATAGCTAGATACCTTATTTTAAGAGTAAAAACACTCATTGCATTGGCAAATCATCTTATTTACCTGCTCAAATTAAGGGTAAATACACTTAATTTAAGACATTTGTACTCATTTTGAGATCGTTTTTGCAGT